ATACAGTTCCTCATGTTGTGGTGACCCCCAACCATAAAATTATTTTTGTTGCTACTTCATAACTGTAATTTTGCTACTGTTATGAATCGTAATGTAAATATCTGATATGCAGGATGTATTTTCATTGTTACAAATTGAACATAATTAAAGCATAGTGATTAATCACAAAAACAATATGTAATTATATATGTGTTTTCCGATGGTCTTAGGCGACCCCTGTGAAAGGGTCGTTCGACCCCCAAAGGGGTTGCGACCCACAGGTTGAGAACCGCTGGCCTAGAAGTTCAAACTGGCAGTCTGTTGGCCGGGTCTCGAGGGCTGAGGGGGCCATGCAGTGCTTGTCAGGTTTGAATATGATGCCTAAGACAGGCACAGGAATCCTGCTGACAAAAGCTCCTGCTTTCTTCCCCAGGTTACATGACCTGCCTGGCCCTGAACCTCAGGGGTTTGTGACTCTTCCACTGTCCTGTATACCAGGCCCATGTGAAGTTGCTCAATCTAGTTTCCACTCTTATACCTTCCACATTCCTTGGTAGCTTTGGGCACCCTGAGCCTGCTTCTCCTGTGAAATGGGGATGTAGGACTAGGTGACGCACCTATCAATGAGGGGAGTTATCAGTGAGCACTAAGACTCTGTGGGTGTAGCTTTGTGGAGGCAAGAACTTTAATGGAGAAGGCACTCAACGAAATTTAATAATATCAACAATTATTTATCGACTAGAGGCCCAGTGCAAGAAATCTATGCACAGGTAGGGTCCCTAGGCCTGGCTGGCGATCAGGGCTGATCGGGGTCTGTCTGCTGGCTGGGGCCTTCCTTCATTCCATGCCACCCCCTGGTGGTCAGCACATGTCATAGCGAGTGATGGAACTCTCGGTCGAACTCCCCAGGGGACAATTTGCATATTAGGCTTTTATATATATAATTATAATAAAATTAACAAACACAACTAAATGCTGTAAATAAAAAAAGAAATAGGGCTGTAACTACATTGTTAATAACATATTTAGATAGAAAATATTATAATAAATAATATAATCTGTGTTCATGATATTAATATATATTATTTATTAGTGGTGGCTTATCATGCTCTTATTGTATGCCAGGTGCTGTGCTAAGGGCTTTATATATATATACTAGAGGCCTGTTGCATGAAAAGATTCGTGCAATAGGCCTTCCCTTCCCCTGGCTGCCGGCACCGGTTTTCCTCCAGCACCCAGGACCCAGGCCTTCGCTCTGGTCGGAGCCGCCTTCAGTCTTCGCTCCGCCACTTCGGGCCTATGTATGCAAATTAACCGCAATCTTTGTTGGCGGTTAATTTGCATATCTCACTGATTAGCCAATGGGAGGCGTAGTGAAGGTACAGTTAATTACTATGTTTGTCTATTATTATAATAAATTATTTCTAATAATCTCATGACAATACTGCCACATGGGAATTATTGAAACCATGATTCAAACTTGCACAACTTATATGTTAAATTGGAAGCCAGTAGAGCCGAGGCCCTGTGCTAGGACATCTCACCGACTCTCTGAGGTGTAGTGGGTGGCAACTCCCCCTGGGAAGATGCTGTCTCATAGAAGGCAGATGTGAAATCATGGGGAGCCTCAGGGTACCCTTTGGTCCCCTCACTGTCTCTGTCCCTCATGCAGCTCCAGTGCCAGGGCAGCCCTTTTAGCGACCCTGGCTTCTCAGCCCCTGCGCTCCAGCTCAGCAGCCTGCCACCTGCCACTGTCTCCTTCCAGACCTGGCATGCCCTGGATGACGGGGAGCAGCTGGGCCGTGCCCAGGGGGCCTTCCTGGCCTTGACCCAGCACCTTCAGCTCGTGGGAGATGACCAGAGCTACCCGAACCCTGGCATCCTCTCCTGCTGGCTCAGCTGGGGGCTGCGAGGCTCCGGGCCCAAGGCCTGCTGGGAACGTGGCTGCCATCATGACTGCCCTGGGCCTGCCCATCCACTCCCCTGAGGCTCCCCATGATTTCACATCTGCCTTCTATGAGACAGCATCTTCCCAGGGGGAGTTGCCACCCACTACACCTCAGAGAGTCGGTGAGATGTCCTAGCACAGGGCCTGGGCTCTACTGGCTTCCAATTTAGCTTCCTCCACGTATAAGTTGTGCAAGTTTGAATCATGGTTTCAATAATTCCCATGTGGCAGTATTGTCATGAGATGATAAGAAATAATTTATTATAATAATAGACAAGAGGACACTGTCGGGCTCGTCACCTTTGGGGCCTCAGCCTTCGAGAGGCAATGTCGAGGCTATGTCGTGGCCCGGGAATATGGCCACTGGACAGACCGAGCTGTGAGGGACTTGGCTCTTCTAAGGGGCAAGTACCCTGGATGAGGAGGCGGGACTTCCTGCCGGAGGCCTGGCCTTGCTGCCTTGCTGCCTGGCTAGCAGGAGACCCAGCTTGTCTAGCAGACAGGGTTAGTGCGCCATGTCATGGGAATATTTCCTGGGAACCAGCCTCAGCTCCCTGTTGGCTGGGCCTTCCTCCCGGATCTGGTGGGACTCCACGGCTATCGCCCCATGCATCGCCCTCCGGGGTGCTGGCGGCCGCTTCCTGGGTGGAGAGAAATGCCGCTTCGAAGAGGCTTCGCTCCCCCTCTCCTGGGAACGGACGGTGGCCTCCTTCCTGAGGCCGCCCCTTCCTGGCACGTGGGAAGGTGCAGGGGCTGCCTCACGTCTCCACCTCGCTTCCTGTGGGGAGACGCGGCCGCTGGGGAGCAGACAGGCCTCTTCCTTTTGCTGGAGTGTGGGGAGCCGATAGAGGATTAAGCCTCGGACTGACCTGTTGGCAAAGTCACAAACAAGTCCCAGCTCAGAGGGCACAGTCCTCTTAAGCATAATTAGGCTTGACCTTATGATGCTCCCTAGATCTTATCTGGGAAGCTAATGGGCTGAGGGAAGTGCAGCAAGAACAAGAACAAAAACCAGTGAAACTCACAAGAACAGTGTAACTATGGAAACCACTACCTTGTTTACCTCTGACTATGAAATAAAGGCTCAGCTTGCCTCTGAATCTTTTTCTGTGGCCTCAGCCAGGCTCAGGAAGATCCAGGGAGACTAAGGAGAGCTAGAGAGTTCTGAACGCTGTCTCCGTGTAAAACATTCTTCGCCGACTCCGTCCACACCTTTGGGCACCCCTGGCCCGCTGGGGCTGGACCCCGGCACTGGAGCTCATCCTGCCCTGGTCTCCTTTTCTGACTGTGGCCACGGTGACAACTTCCCGTCTTCTGGGCTCCACTTCCTCAACAGTGGAGGGTCCATTCTTGAACGAAGCAGCCGTGTCACGTTTCCCGCTCGGGCACTGCAGGTCCTCCTAGGCTTGGGGCTCCCAGGAACCCACTGCAGCGTGTCTGGGCCCAGGCGATACCCAGGATCCTCTTCTCCTCAAGGCATCTCCCCACCCTCACCCACTACATCTACTGGAAACTTTACTGTTCTTTTTATTTTTTAACATTTTATTTACAAAAAATTAATTTATTCTCAGAAACAAAACTCTTTTAAGGTGTCGATTGTTTCTCTTCACAGACCTGGCTTGGGAGGAAGAGGAGGTGCAAGGACAGGGCGAGGGAAGTGAAGGGGGAGG